AAATGTTAGATGGACGAACATTCTCTATCTCATCTGATAACAAGACATGAAACACCTTTTCAATTTTATTTCTCTGGTTTGTTCCAATAGGGTACTTTTTTTTTCCAACTAAATTTCAACAAACCCTACAAAGAAGATTCAAATTATTATTGTGAATCTCCATCTAAAAATAAAAAAACTTTCAAAATAGATGGTTTAAACCATCATCTTTAACACAATTTGTTAAACACATAGTATTTATATGCATAGAAAATAAATTATTAACAAACTTCATGAAAATGCTATATAGCATTCTTTTTTTTTTTTTTTTTTTTTTTTTTTTTTTACAACTTCAATATACACTTCATTACGTTACAATTCTATCATATAATTTAATGCAAAGAGTAAAATATATAACATAACATAAGAATACGTAATTTAACAATTATAATAAAATATAACGTTAGATTAATAAACACTGTTTTTTTTTTTAAATAAAAACTATTGTTTCTTCAAATATAAACATGTTGTTGTAAAGGAGACTCGCAGAAGACTATGAAGTCTTATTTTCAAGTGGTTAAATAAATTTAATTAATTTTTATATATAGTTAAAAGTGGTTAAACAATACACAGTCAGTGATACACATAAACATTTTAGTATAAATCTTGTTGTTAAGTTTAATACATGTCAATAAAATTTTTGATATTAAGTATGAGGTGTTTTAATTTTTTTTTCAAGGTGGCAGAATTATTTAATGCTTTAAGTTCTATATTTTCGGATATTATTTTGTTATATAGGTACGGAACCCGGTAGGAAATAGAGAATCGTGAGAACTTTGTTGTTTTTTTTGGTAATGTGAAGTTCCCTGTTGCTCTTGTGGTATATCTATTAGAGTTAATTTGAAAAAAGTTATCTAAAAAATGCGATGGGACTAGTCCAAGATTGTATTTAAGCATGAAAAGAATATTTTGATAGATGTTGATTTGGTAAACATTCAGTGCATTTAGGGTTTTTAGTAAAGGTTCAGCATGGGTGAGTTTATATTTATTATAAACTAATCTTGATGCATGTTTTTGACTTAAATAAAGAGTATTTAACTTGGATTTGTGTGTACTTGCCCATGCAATATTAGCGTACGTAAGATAACTTTGGATGTAAGAAAAATAAAGAGATTTAAGATTATCTTGGGACAACATAGGTTTAACTTTGTAAAGTATCCCAATATTTTTTGAAATTTTGGTGTTTATTGTACTAATATGGGCTCTCCAAGTTATATTTTCGTCAATAAGTATCCCAAGAAATTTTGTTGTTTCTGTTCTTTTAATGTTTACCTTATCTATTTTTACTGGGGGAAGTATAGTTGGTATATTATTTTTTTGTTTTTTGGAATGAAACAATATATATTTTGTTTTTTCTGTATTTAGTGATAACTTATTTAATTTCAACCAGATGTTTAATTTTTCAAGCTCTTTGTTCATACATTCATAAAGGTTTTTGATTGAGTTCGAGGAATAAAATAAATTTGTGTCGTCGGCAAACATTATAACATCAAGTTTTTTCGAGGTTTTTGTAAGGTCGTTAATATATAGAAGAAACAGAAGGGGTCCAAGAATGGAACCTTGGGGGACACCGCACTCTATTCTTAGTAGTTTTGAGTGTTTATAATTGTCTGAAATAACACATTGTTGCCTATTGCTTAGGTAGTTTTTGAACCAGTCAAGAGTGATGTTTTTTACTCCATAGCTTTCCATTTTTTTAAGTAAGATATTATGATTTACTGTGTCAAAGGCTTTTGACAGGTCTATAAAGATCCCCAGAACATAATGTTTTTTATCAAAAGAATCACTTATACTATTAATTAGATCTAGGATTGCGTGTTTAGTCGAATATTGTTTTTGGAAGCCAAATTGTTTTTTATTTAGGATTTTATTTTGGATTAAATACTCGTACAATCTGTTGTAGATTACTCGTTCGAGAAGCTTAGAGAAGGTAGGGAGTACCGAGATAGGTCTATAGTTATTAATTAAGTATGATTCACCTGTTTTAAATATTGGTACTACTTTAGCTACTTTTAACTTGTCTGGTACAACTCCTGTTTTAATCGAAGACTTGAAGATTTCAAATATAGGTTTATTTATCACTGTAAAGACATTTGCCACTATCCTACTACAGATATCGTCTATTCCTGGAGTTTTATTTAATTTTAAGGAGTTTAGTGCAACGTTAAGCTCTTGATAGCTTAGTTCTTTGTATTTTAGTTCGCTCTGGGGATCATTTAGATATGATTCAAACGAGTTATTAGGATATTCAATTTTTGAGGCAAGATTAGGGCCAATGTTAAGAAAAAATTCATTGAATTTTTCAGCAATTTTATTTTTGTCACTGTACTCTATATTGTCTATGATAATTCGAGCAGGCAAATTATTTGATTTAGTTTTTTTGTTCCCAATTATTTCTTTTATAATGTTCCATGTTTTTTTAATGTCACCAGTTGCATTTTTTATTTGCTTCGAGTAGTAGTTTTTTTTTGAATTTTTTTGAATTTTTTCAAATAAATTTTTGTATTGCTTGTAGGTATTTAGGTTTTTTTCATTTCTATTTTTTAAATATTTGATGTAAAGTTTTTGCTTTTTTTTTGAAGATTTTTTTATACCTCTAGTAATCCATGGACATTGTAAGTATTTTACTTTTAATTGTTGTTCTATATTTGGGAAGTGATTATTATAATGCTTTAAGAATATTTCTAAAAACTCATTATAAGCAGAGTTGGTGTGCCCAAGGTTGCATTTTTGGTAAATCTTATCCCATCTCACTGCCGATAGTGAGTCTTTAAACTGTTGAATAGTAAATTTATTAATTTTTCGTTTATAGACTTTGGTTTTTGAGTTGTTTGTTTTTGTATCTTGAAACAAAGAAAAGTATATCGGAAAGTGATCGGATATATCCGTTTTGATTACACCTGCTTTTAATGAAGAATCATAAAATGAATTAGTCAATATGTTATCTATTGCAGTGATTGAAGTTGATGTTACCCGGGTGGGTTTGTTTATTATAGGGAAGATGTAGTGTTGAAACATATCATCAAAAAAAATTTTGGTAACAGCATCTTCATTGTACTGTAAACAGTTTATGTTAATGTCTCCAATACAGAATAATATTTTATGCTCTTTATTGTTTTTTAGAAATATTTGTTTTAGATGATTAGAAAATTTTTTTATATCACCTTCAGGTGGTCTGTAACAGGTGGGCACCAGTATATTTTTTAACTTTTGGTTTATTATTTCAATTGTAAAGACCTCACCATCGGCATCAGAAACAGAAAGATCGTCTCTAACTTTAGTTGTCAGATCATTATGAATATATGTCATAATTCCACTACCTCGTTTTTGAACTTTTCGCTCGTAAGATATTAGTTTGTAGTTCGGAATTAATAAGTTTGAATTTATTCTGGATGATTCGTCAGAACACCAGGTTTCTGTTAAGCAAATCATACTGAACAAAAAATTACATTCTACAAGAAAATGTTTTAGCTTGTCAATATTGTTAATTATACTTCTTATGTATATGTGTATAACCGTAAAGTTATTATTTAATGATTTTAATTCATTTTTAAAAGTTTTTAAATCAAAAAACCGCGAGTTAAAATTATTTTCATAAAAAAAATGCAAATCTGGGTCGTAAAAGTTATCAAGTAATGCGTTATTGGCTGATTTGAAAACATTAAAGTGTTGCGTTTCGAAATCTTTTGTTTGTTTAGCCATAAGTAAAAAGAATTAACTTTGCTTCGATCGCTTTAACTTACGCAAAACTTATTTTCTTATTTTCTAAATTCGCGACAATAAATTTTATTAAATTTAATCGTTGCGTATTTACCTTGATTGCGAAGATTTTTAACTTCTTCCCAAAGTCTCTTTCGCTCTTCCATTGTCTCTTTAGCAAAATCTTCATTTATATATATTCCACTTCCTTTTAGATTTTTAAGTGAACTTAAGATTTTTTACATAGCATTCTCATAAATGATATATATATATATGATATATATATATATATATATATATATATATATATATATATATATATATATATATATATATATGTATATATATATATATATATATATATATATATATATATATATAAATGATATATATATATATATATATATATATATATATATATATATATATATATATATATATATATATATATATATATATATATATATATATATATATATATATATATATATATATATATATATATATATATATATATATATATATATATATATATATATATACGATGATACATAAATAGCTACATAGCATTCTCATAAATGAGAATGCTATGTAGCATTCTCATTTTGGCTACAGCTATAGCCAAAATGTGTTTTTTCATTAGAAAAAAAATTGAGTGCTAAGGTTGCTTATAAGTAATGGGAAGATAAAAGATTCTTCTATTTGAAATTATAAAATTTTTTAAGTTTTAACGCTCAAAATAAAAGAAAAAAGACTTTTAAATTTATAAACAAATCGAATATATATATATTTTTTAATAAGTCTGCGCCAATCATAAAAATTATTTTATTTTTAATTACTTTCTAACAAAATTAAGTTACAGAAACACTACAAAGAATTCGATCAACTGGTTATCTTTGTAGACAATGCTAAAAAACGCCACGAGTTAAAAAAAATTGGTATTCATCTAAAAATTAACTTTGTAGCGAAGGCCTGTAGCTATTTTAAAACTCTCTAAAATTTTTTAACCAAACTGCGCTTGCGTACAATAAGTTGTCGCTTTTTAGGTGAGTTTAAACGACCGTGGGGCCTGAACATTATATATACACTACTTCTAACAGAGAATCTAAAACATTTGGCTTTTGTGATATTTAGGTTTCAAAATTTATTATACTAGTATCTTGTTAGCTTTTTCTTGTTAATTTCTATTTACTTATTTTATTATGACATAACACGAGCTAGCATCTTAATCGGTTTGAAAAATTACATTTAATTCTTTATAAACCATTCAGCTGGTAACGGCACCCTCCGCCCGTCCTGAAAGACGGGCAGAACGATCATCTATAACTCATATCGATCTGACGATCTCTAGGAGTTAAGCATCACGCTCAGGCGCTGTTACTTCAGCTCATCATCATGGTTCGGTGGGTTGTCTTTGTAGAATTACAATGACAGGACGCATACTATAGAAATGATCCTAGTTAGTACGGTCTTGAACCGTTAAATCCAAAAATAAAATTTTCGGGATTTTTCAATTGTGTTTTAATTGTGGGTTTGTAATAACAGAGTTTACCTATGCCTTCTATTTATAAGATTACAAAGTATGTTAATTTTACGGAAAAATTTGTTCTCATAATACCTGATAACCAAAAAGGTTTCCTGGTATTTTACCGACTAAAGTGGCAGAAAGGTTTTGAAGGTTAAGAAATAGTAACACAAAGAAGTAAAAATAAAGACGAATTTTTAAAACCTAATACTTTTCTATGTTATTAAAACACAAATTTTGTAATCAATTTTTTCTGATATTACTATTTTATTATATTAACATTTGGCTGTATGCGTTTGTGAAAAAACAAAAAAAAAAAAATCAGGAAGAGGCGGATCCAATATGATGGGGTATCATGAAATAATCGTTGTCCAATGTTCCATGCCACGGGACATCTACTATGTTTTTGTTTCTATTATTTTCTATTATTTTCTAACTTGGACAATAGGTTCAATCGGTAATATTATAGTGTGTTTTCAGCTTAGTAATTTTCAGTAACATTTTTTAATCTTCTAATCTTACCTATACTCTAAGAAAGTTTTAATAAAATGTTATTTACAAATGGCAAGGAAACGTTATACAACTAAAGAAATATTGAAGGATGAAACAAGCACTAAAGCGACACTGAATACACTTATAGTGAAGTCTTAATCAGAATCAGAGGAAGATATTGAACTAAATAAAATCGATGATAATGGACTTGCTTTGAACATAGAATGGATAAAAGTAATCCAAGATACTCCAGCATTTGAAGCACTGCCATTCCAGTAGCAAATGTAGGCTCTCGACATTCAATAAACTTAACACATGACCTAGATTATTTCAAGTCATTTTTTACTGATGAGTTACTTGCAGGTATTGTAACCGAAAATAATCGTTATGCTAAGTCTAAAATTAAAAACAATGATTTGGAATCTCATTCTTTTTGGCATATATGGAAAGATGTAACACTTGAAGAAATTCATGTTTATTTTGGTACTATTTTAAATATGGCTCTGAATGAAAAATCAATTTTAAAACATTTTTCTTGTGATTGGGTAAATTATATGCCATTTTTTTCAGCAGTTTTGTCTAGAACTTGGTTTCCTCAGATACATTGGATGCTGCTCGTATCCCCACCATCAAATTCATCTAATGAATTAAATAGAAAAATTAAGCAAGAAAAGTGCATTTTGTTGTATCAAAAATGAAAAGTTCCTGTTCTAGACATTTTGTCCCATCTCGTAACATTGCAATTGATGAAAGTACTATTGGATTTAAAGGTAGAGTTGCATTTCACTTGTGCAATCCGCAAAAACCCACAAAGTGGGGCATTGGTGTTTTTGTTTGCCGATAGTGAAACAGGTTATATTAGTTGCTTTGAACAGTATTATGGTAATTGCACTACTGAAAGTTTGGCAAGACCTATGATGCAGTTTACAAGTCAAATGGTGTTGCATTTGCGCTCTGAGATTTTAGAGGCTGCCCAAGGTAGTGGTTATCACTTATTTACTGACAGATTATATACTAGTCTTCCTCTTGTAAAAGAGCTCCTCAAAATGAACAAACTACAGTGACAATAATGAAAACAGTTACCTGAAAATGGAAAACAGTTACCTGAAAATATAAAAACACTCAAATTAAAAAAGCACGAAGTTTCTGCATATGTACACTCTTTCAATGTTATGGTTTTGGTATGGCAGGACAAGCAACAGGTACTGGTGCTGAGTACTTTCCATGATTCAACAACTGAAGTTGAAAAACAAAGAACAAGCAAGGTATTGTAGACATTGACAAACCAACTGTAATTGTAAATTATTCGAAATGTATAGGAGCTGTTGACCGAGCTGATCACTATTGTTCTAGCTATTCATTTCTATGCAAGTCTTTAAAATGGTGAAGAAAAATATTTTTCTGGTTGTTGGAAGTTGCAGTTGTAAATAGTGATATATTGTTCAATAAATTTTATGAACGCAATGGTAAAAACAAACTTCGACAACTAACCTACAGACAAAACCTCATTGAGTATTTAGTTGGAGCATGTTGTAACATTCAACAATGAAGAGGAAGGCGATCATCATTAGATGGTAATAAACGCCTCAACCAAAAGCCACATCTTATTGCACAAGTTCCAATTAATAATGCCAAAGAATGTCTAGTCTGCAGTGTCAGAAAAACACAGGGTGGTAGAAGAAAACTGTATACTATTGTAAAACCTGCACTAGAAAACCAGGACTCCACCCTACTGATTCTTTTGAACTTTACCATACAAAGACTGACTTTCGTGTAAAAAGGGTATCCAAAGACAATATTGTAATTTACTTATGAATAATAACAAGTGTTTACATTTTTTTTTGTTTTTTTTTTTTTTGTTTAGTGCTTTCACTTAGGTCATAGTGTTTTAGGTCATAGTGGCAGAATAAAAATTAAACAATTTAGAGTTACACTAAAAACCTATTTTTTATGAAAAATAAAGAGAAACCATGGATCAAACATATTTTTTCTGTTATATTTAAGGTCAATAAAAGAAAAAATTAATAAACTAAACGCGCATAAATGTTGGAGAAAATTAATATATAAAACTTATTTTAAAAATTCTTTTTTCCATATAAAAAATAAACTCAATTAAAATTAACTAAATGAATTGACTTATTGTAAAACTAATTATTAAATATTGTATTGTCATCAAACAAGAGTATATATGCAAAATTTAAAGAAAATCTATCATCAGTAAGTGACTCAAAAACTGATTGCAAAATTTAATGCTCACAGACAAACAGAGACGAGGAGTAATAAAAGCATTGGGAAATATAGGTTTAGTTATTTCGAAAAGTAATCTCCTTTAGCTAGTAGTACCTTTTCCCATTTAGACGCAAAATCATATACATTTTTTTAAAAAGAAACCTGCTTTTGAGAATTAAAAAAATGTATAAGCTCATTTTGCGAAGTCTCTCAATTTTAAAATCGCTAAACACAAGTGGTTGTCAAACCAAAAACAGATGGTTATCACTTGGGGTGAGTCTGGTGAAAACGGAAGGTGAGTTAAAACTTTCCATTGTAGTTGTGCCTGTGTTTACTGCGTGATTCTTACAGCGTGTGGTCTTGCGTTTCCTGATGGAAGAAAATACGTTTTCTGATCGTTAAAGCAGGCTGTTTTTGACTAATAGCGACCAAAACTCTGTTCAGCTTCACTGCGTATGTTTCAGCAATAATGGTTTTTCCACTTGGCAGAATCTCAAAGTGAACGATTTCTACTGTTGTCTACAATCCACATTAAAACCTTATTCGATGAATTCTACGTTTAGTAGTCAACGGCAACGGATCATTACTGGGTAGCCAATAATATGAGCGCTTGTTGTTACAGTGCATATTTCATTTTTAATTGCACGTCAACAACCGGTCAATTTTTAATCGCACGTCAACAACCGGTCAAAGAATAACAATCTTGAGGCCGAAAGATTGAGAAAAGAGATAAACAGATTGTCTAACTTTATAACTTGTTTGTTTCACTCCATCGTGTAGCACTCATTTGTCTAACTTTTATCGTTTTACAAGCTGGTGCAATCGAATGCGAATAATCTTTTAACTCGCATTGAATCTTAATGCATAACATTAGCAAGTCTGACTTGAGCCCTACTTGATTGCCAGACTGATATTGTCGTTGTTTAGTTTTATCTTCCAGTTTTTCATCTCCAGAGGCAAGTTTTTAAACCACATCTGTTTAGTTTACTGTTTTCTTCTGTACTTTCCCCAAAAGCAGTGCATATCTTGCAAAAACATCTGCAGCTTTGGTACCAAGTTTGAATTCATCCTGTTAACAAGCACAAAATATTGCATTTGAAACAACTATACTCTACTAAATATTTATTAATTGAATTAAATTTATTATAACTATTTATTTTTTGCTTAAATATACTTTCTATTTAAATCAAAGTTATGAAATACATTAATGCTCGTTGAAATAAGCTTTAACTCATCATTCAAAGCTACCCCTCCACTCCCGTTTACATAATTCATAAAAGTAAACATTTAATAAAAGCCACACAAACATTTTGGTCGTCTAATACTGCGTACGGATATAATACCGCGTACGGATATTATACCGCGTACGGATATAATAAGACCTTGTTGGAAAACGAATATAAACGGATATAAACGGATATAATAAGTTGAAAAATTAAAAAGACAAAGTTTAAAAATCACTTTTTTTATTACCTTTTATTTAAACATTATTTAATATTTAAATAACGTATATAAACAATTTAAATAAATAGTTAAAACATAAGTTGACTTAAAACTTTATTAGGAATAAAAGTTTTTATTGAAAGTCGAAATTTTTTTATTTATTAGTAATTATTGCAATAAAAATAAAAATTTAAAAACTAAAATTGTACAGCTAAATCGAATAGGATTATAATTTGCAATAAAAAGTTTAATAAACTTCTTTTTTGTTGCTATTGATTTTGTTTTTAATCTTGTTATTGATTGGGAAGCAGGTGCTCCAACCACAGATCTGTATTTGTTTCAAAAACCAAAACCCATTATTATTTTTAGACGAATATATGATCAATGATTAAAAAGGATGCAAAAATTAAATCTTGTATTTATTTGCATTTAATTACATTCATTAAGCTGCCAAAGAGAGCTTACAGTTCAAATTTAAGTATTTTTTATGCCTCTGCGGGTATAAACGTTTACAAAAGAGTTTAACTGGGAAACTAAATGTACGTCATTATGGGTTTTTTTTTATAAAGTTTGCAAATTGAAATATGCGCATTTTGCATTTGCAGACAACATGGACGTCAAATTAAAGCAGGTTTTGAAATTTATTAGATGAATAAAGATAAAGCTGGTAAAACATAGTTTAACAATATCTATTTTCATGAAATTTTTAATATAGTATAGTTGTTTACAAACGTATCGATGTGGGAAGGACACCGTAATAATATTGTTTAACTTTAAACATACCTTTTTAAATATTGATATTGCAATTCAAAGACATCTAAAACACACAAAAAACTCTCAATAAATATAAAAAACATTAAAAAGCTGTACAAATTGAACAAACTATATAAAACACAATTAAGGAGGTTTTTTTTTGGTCCACTTTACGAGTTTTATAATAGTTACCATTAAACTTAACATTTTTTAAAAAATGAACTTTGTTACTATAGCAACTATTTTAATTAGTCTTGCTTCGCAAATTAATGGTCATGGTTATTTACAAAATCCACCTGCTAGAAACTCAATGTGGAGGTTTGGGTTTAACACGCCACCTAATTACAACGATAACGAATTGTTTTGCGGTGGGGCTACTGTTATGAATATGAATAATGGAGGGCGTTGTGGCGTTTGTGGTGACCCATGGCATGTAAAAGATCAACCACACATGGACGGCGGAAGGTAGGTAGAGATAACTTTAAAAAATTGGAACATCAGCATGTTGACATTGTAAAAAATATTTTTTAAAATCATAAAGAAGAGAATATGCATAACTTTTTCAATACTAAAAAGATAAATTAACCTGCTAAAGACTGGTTAAGAAAAACGCACATTCTGTTTGAGATGGTATCGCCTAAGGTTTACCGAGTTGCTCAACATACAATAGACTAAGTTAAGCAACTGTTTAGGGCAAGTTGACCAATTAAAGAAAAAATGAATAGGCATGATATGGATAAATCATCAATAAAACAATCTTTAAAAGTAACCGTGCCTATAATTTATAAACGTTTTATTTTATACATTTTAATGAAGTAAGACAAGAGAAAAAAATTAAATAGTAAAAAAGTTTTATCTCAAGTAAAAAGAAAAAAAAGTTAGGTTCAAGTAAAAAGAAATAAAAATTGTATTTATAAAATTTTCAAACAAAAATAACAAAAGGAAACCTTTTATAAAATCTAAGGTTTTTGGGAATAATTTGATATTTTATCGCGCAGGACGTCAAAAAAGTTCTTTTATACACATTTTTTAGAGGCATAAGCTTTAGAGTTTGTTTTTCTATATGGCCTTTAGTTTTTATTAATGTTCAATTTAAAAAAATATAAAATGGTTGTTTTAATAGAACCACCTAAGCTTTTAACACAACAGATCATAAAATTTTTTTAACTAAAATAAAACATTATGGCATCAAAAATTCAAACATTTTTTGGTGTAAAAGTTACTTGAGTAACAGGAATCAGTATATATTGTATCACAAAGAAAAATCAAAATATTTGATTATTACTTACGGTTCCTCAAAGATCTTGGACCACTTCACCTTCTTGTTTTTATAAACAACTCAAGTAAGTTTTATAATATTTTAAAACTCAGTTTTATTTAATGACAAAACAAAGTTATATTTTTATACTTGTAATTTACTTTTTAATTTTAAACAGTTATCATGGAACTTTTAAATTGAATAGAGTATTTTAAGTTTAATAAACTATCCTTAAAGATAGGTAAAACTGAATAATTTAAATTACTATAACAAAATACTATAAATAAATAAAGTACTATAAAAGTAAATACTATAAGTTACTAGCAAAAACTAATGTTTCATAGGATTGTCAAACTCCGGTGAATGAGAGCGCAGTTTAAAAATTTATTTTATTTAAGACTTATATCGCGCTCTCCTACAAACCCAGCAAACATTCTATAGCGGAATTTCAGTGGACTTTTATAGACACTTTGAGCGGTCCACGGTAGTTTTGCTCATCGATTACTTAGTGGACCATTAGTGGCAGCCGCCAAAAGTGGCTAGTCGAAGAATAGCCACTATTAACATGTCGGAAAGTTATCGGCTGGCCATATATAGCGGCTGTCCCTAATGTTCTACTAAGTAACCGATGAGCAAAACTCACATAAACCGCTCAAAAATGTATACATAGGCCCAGTGCAAATCCACTAAAATAATATTTGCTTGGAAGTGACCAGATTTTGACATTTCCAGATTACACCAAAGAAATATTGTTTCTATAAAACTTTCTAATCTTTTTATTGACAACACAAACACTAAAATAATGTGAAAACAATAAAAAAAAACTAAAAAAAACTTATCTTTTTAATTTCGCTGTTACTTTGGTTATGGAAATATCGTTTGATACAGCACCGACGTAACAAAAATAAAAAAAAACCTCTCAGGAGATAAAAACTGGTGTTGTTATGAACTTTGGTTAAACCGACTAAAAGTCGACAAGTCGAAACTAGTCGACTTTGAAAAATCAAATAGTCGATTTACTTGACTACGAAAGTCCATAGTCGAGTAAATTAGTTAAGTAAAAGTCTTAAAATCATTAAATCTTTTTATTCAATTTAATTTTTTCTATCTTTAATTTTTGTTTTTTTATTTAATAACAATAGCATGTAATTCAACTAATTCATAGCATGTCAGCATTACTTATACGTAATTACCCGTTGCGCAACGGTCGCACGGCAAGCGGCCTTGATTTAATGGTTTGAGCGCTTGCTTTATAAGCCGGAAATCCAGGTTTGAGACGAGCTCTTGAGATATTTTCGCGTCACGGTAAGGAAGGTGGCGTGAACTTCCTGGTTAAATGCACTTCCACGGTGATCTGTGACAAGACCGTTAGGTCTTCTTGGGGCACCTAAAAATAAAATTAAAAAAAAAATTAAACTTTTGGTTATTTTATTTTTGGTTATTTTATTTTATTATATATTTATTAAACACCCACTATACAAGTAAGGTAAATTAAGAGTTTCGTACATCATGATAAATATAAAAAAACTTGGAAATTTTTTTCTTTTAATGTGATCATTTTTTAATGTGATCGAGAATTTTCAAGAATGTCCTTGAAGATAGTTCTCTGTTCTTTTGAATTCCAGCACTCAACTGCACATTTTAGAGTTTGAAGATCCGTATCAGGAATTAAATTTTTGAGGCTGATGATTTTTTTTTTTTTTACTTTGCATTATTGTCTCCAGATTTAGTTCATGATTATTGCAAAACCCCTTGATGCTATCTAAAAAAAGTTGTGTTTTTCAGCTGCGACTTAATGATATCATATGTGATTTTATTGTTCATAAGGCGAATAAATAAGCTAAATTTTTATATAACTGGACAACGGAGTTTGGGTGAGCAAAATGGATTCCTGATTGAATTAAGGTTTGGATTGTCGCCCGGAAATTAGATATTCGGTGATCAATGTTTGAGTTATTAATTGAGGCAAAAGGTGAACTTTTTGTATCCCATGTAAAGCCTAGATAATTAAGTTTATTATAATGTTTTATTTGTTGGTGGTTGAGAGTTATTGTGCAGTTTTTGATTTGCTTTTTTCCGGTGAGCAGGAACACGGTTTGTCAGCATTCAATTTAATGCAGTTTTTGTGTGTCTACATATTACAAAAATTATTAAGCTTTTGTAGGCCAGAGAGGGTGGAGCTAAGGAGTATAATCTCATCATGTATTTCATTAACCTTTTTTTCTTTTGTTTACTGGATGCTTGCAATTTTCGTAAATAGTAGTACAAGGCTGTTCCAAGCTGGCTCGGGGCCAAGGGGCAATTTAAATTGTTAAACTACAAAATTTAAATTTCATCTATACTTTCAAATTGTAATAGATTGTATAGATAAATTATGTATGTATTGTATAGAGTGTTTGATATATATCAAGTTTTTAAGGTGGTTCCTAAATCAGTCAGGGCTGGGAATAAATTATCCCGTTGTCGAAGCGGCCCTGCTCTGATATTGTTTCTCTCCGATATTATATAAATAATTTGATGTCAAAAAATAGAAATCGAATAAAAATTTTTTTATTGTTTTTATTAAACTTTAATATACATACAAATACAAAAAAAATTGTTCCCATATTTCGACTTAATCGACTTTTATTCGATTTCAAAAATGTATTAGTCAATTTTAGTTGACTTTCGAAAATATTGTAATCGATTTAGTCGACAGTCGAATTATTTTAAAATCGTCACAACACTAATTCGTGAAATAAGAATCATTACAAATAAAAATCGTTGAACATCCTTTAGAGAAAAATTTATTCCAATTATAATTTTATTTTTATTTTTTTCAATAAAAAGTTAATCATTTTTTATCTACAAAGTGAATAAAAAAGATATTTCTAATACTTATTCATCTTTTTAAAAGGTTTCGAGGATGGCGTAAAGCCGTAGAAGGAGGGGGGGCGTAAAGGGTATCTAACCACTCTAGGAAATTTATATTCAAAAGGAAGTCAACAAATTCGGAAACTGGAGCCAGCAAGATTGGATCTGAAGTTAGCAGTTGGCAAATGTTAGCTAATAGGAATTTTTTTTTTAAAGACCTTTCTTGGCAAAAAAAATTGTCTAGGCCTTATTCGGCAACAAACAGATCCATCACCCCTCCTTTAAGATCTCTTCGGGACGGCTATACCTTTTAATAAAATAAATCATGTTTCCTTTACCCGATATTTCAAATCATAACTACAATCAAACTAGAGCATATAATACGCATTCTCTACTAACAATAGTAAATACAAAATATTCACCTTTATTTAAATACAAGGTAAGTCACCCTAGTCAAAAAGTCTGTAAGAATTTGGAAAAAAAAAAAATTCAGATTTAAACCCCGTTAAATTAAAACACATAAGTTGAAATGTGTTTATAGTTTTGCCTTTTTTTTTTTTTTTTTTTTTTTTTTTGTTTTAAAATCCTTTAGGTCCTATAGGACTTTTTGGCTAGGGCATTCATTTACTATTTTTAAGAACGCAAAATAAAACAAAATACAACTGACTTTTTTTTACAATTAATTTTTTACAAACTTTTTTCTTACCAA